GGGTGATGGAGATTGATGGGTCAGGGGTGATGTGGTGATGGAGACTTGGTGTGTCAGGGGAGGTGGGGGTAATGGGAGCGGTTTGTGTCAATGACGATGAGGAGCTGAAGGCTGGGGAAAGCTGGAGAGACCTTCTTTCTCAGGAGGAGGACTGAGCTTATCTGACTCCAGAGCCTTCAGGAGGGAAGAAAGATGTCAGATGAAGATGATCTAGAAGACTTTGATCCAGACCAGGACGATTTTGAGAAAGAGGAAGATGAGAAGGAGACAGAGGAGGAGGACTACAGAAAAGAGGGGGACGAGTTCCCTGAGGAAGTGAGAGCCTGGACAACGAGGGGTCCAAGGGCTGAGGGGCAAGGTTGGGCAGGGGAGAGATGCCTTACTCCACTTCCTCCTGCAGTGGCTGCCTAACCCCCTCACGGAGGACATGATGAAGGAAGGGCTTTCTCTGCTCTGTAAGACGGGCAGTGGGCTGGGTCATGCTTATGTTAAGCTGGAGGTTAAAGAGAGGTAAGTTTATGGCGGACCAGATGAGGACTGTGAGATTGTAGGGCCCCTATCTCCTTTCCCACTCACTGCCATTCCTGGGTGTTCTGGCTGAGAGTTTGACCCTTCTCATGCCTAGTGGAAAGAGAAGGACAGAATTTACTTTTCAGGAGCTCTAGACTTCCCCTGTCAAAGCTGACCTGGGGAATTGGAGGCTGAGAGTATATGGGGGTTCCTGCTGGACTTCCTCATTTGTCTTTCAGAGTATGGGTTCTCTGTCCTTCACAGACACAAGGTCTCTCTGCCCACTACCTTCTCTTACCCTTCTCCCCTCCCATCGGTTGCCCGTTCTTCTCCCCATTATAAGCCATCTCCATATTTCCTTCCACTTTAGCAGCTCTGCCAGTTCTTGCTGGGTTCTTCACTCTAACCCTGGTCGCTTCTCCATCTTCCATTTCCTAGGGACCTGACAGACATCTACTTGCTGCGCTCCTACATCCATCTGCGCTATGTGGATGTCTCTGAGAACCACCTGACAGACCTGTCTCCACTCAACCACCTCACCCACCTGCTCTGGCTCAAGGCTGATGGCAATCGGCTACGGAGTGCCCAGCTGAATGAACGGCCCTACCTGCAGACTGCTAGTTTTGCTTATAACCAGATTACTGACACTGAAGGCATCTCACATCCTCGTCTGGGAAGCTTGAATCTCAAAGGTGGGTCCTTAGGATGGGCCACACAAAATTCTTTCCTTCCTAACCTGAGGCCAACAGAAGTGGGCAGTATGATCCTTAGCTATGGCACATGGCCGTGTGCATTCATTCATTCATTCATTCATTCAGATACGCATTACGATTCATTATGACAGTTCTACACGCCAACCATACAGGAGCGAATAAGACAAGGAACATCCCTAGTCTCATAAAGCTCCTATTCTAGTTGGGGGAGACAGACAAGTAACAACAAACACAATAAGTAAATTCATGTAGCGTGTTGAAAGGAGACAAGTTCCTTGGAAAAAATAGATCAGAGTAAGAGGAATGGGGGACACAGGTGGTAATGCCAAATGGACTGGTTAGGACAAGCATCACTGAGACATTTGAGCAAAGACTTGAAGAAGGAGAGGGAATTAGACTTTCCCACTGCTTCATTCACTCTTCAAAGGCCTAGGTGGTGATGTCCATCAGGACCCTGGACTACCACACCACTTTCCCTAGGGCTCTGGAGATATTAAGACTGGAACTGTCCTTCCTCACCATCTACCCTGCTTTGAGGATGTCCAGGGTAGGATGATTTAGAGGCTCCCCAAATTCAGGCTCTCATGCTGAACATTGGGAATGGCCCTTTGAGCTCCTGAAACCCTCCTCTCCAGGGAACAGCATCCGCATGGTGACAGGTCTGGACCCCCAGAAGCTGATCAGCCTGCACACAGTGGAGCTTCGGGGGAACCAGCTGGAAAGCACCCTGGGAATCAACCTTCCTAAGCTGAAGAACCTCTACCTGGTAGCTCACTGGGCCATAGGGTGGTGTGGGGAAGAGGGCACTGTCCTGGGGGTCAGGATGCCTGGCTTCTTTTCTTTTCTTCTTTTTTTTTCTTTTTTGAGACAGAGCCTTACTCTGTCGCCAGACTGGAGTGCAGTGGTGCAATCTTGGCTCACTGCAACCTCTGCGTTCCAGGTTCAGCGATTCTTCTGTCTCAGCCTCCCCAGTAGCTGGGACTACATGTGCTCGCCACCACGCCCAGCAATTTTTTTTTTTGTATTTTAGTAGAGACAGGGTTTCACCATGTTGGCCAGGATGGTCTTGATCTCCTGACCTCGTGATCCACCCGCCTCGGCCTCCCAAAATGCTGGAATTGCAGGTGTGAGCCACTGCACCAGGTCAGGATGCCTGGTTTTCTAGTAGGCTCAGCTACTAATTTCATCATCATGATGATAACTAGTATTCTTATCAAGCCCATAGTTGGTGCCAGATGCTGTGGAGATACAGAGCCACCTAGCAGGGCTGATGATACATAATGTGTGGATAATATGGAGATAATTTACTTTGTAATTAAGGCAGCAGCAAAATGGGCCATAACTGAGGTACAAACATCAGGCTATGGAAATGTTTTAGGAAAACTCACCTCTCAAACTGGGTTTTTGCTTAACTCTCCAACTACCACCACAACAATCATCAACACGGGACTTTCAGGACCAAAGGTGTGGGGGTTTCTCCCCATACACCAAGTAGTAGACACAGGCTGGATTACCTCAATTCAGTTCCGGCACCATCTATCCATCAGTTCCCGAGTGACCCCCACACCACCCATAGATACCAGCTGCAAGTCCAAGCCTCTGGAACTTCTGGCACAGCAGCTTCAACTTGAAGCCAGTTCCCATGGATTTAATTAATTTGCCGGAGTGGCTTTTTACCAGTTTATTGCAACGGCAAAGGATACGGATGAAGAGAGGCGTAGGGCAAAGTATGGGGAAATGGGTGTGGTGCTCCATGCTCTCCCTGGATGCATCAGCCTGCAGGAGCTTGCCTACTTTCTTTCTGTCTTTCCTTTCTTTCCTTCTTTCTGGCGGACTCTTGCTTTGTCACCAGGCTGGAGTGCAGTGACACGATCTTGACTCACTGCAACCTGCGCCTCCCGGGTTCACACGATTCCCCTACCTCAGCCTTCCGAATAGCTGGGACTATAGGCACACACCTCCATGCCTGGCTAATTTTTTTTTTTTTGTATTTTAGTAGAGATGGGGTTTCACCATGTTGGCCAGGATGGTCTCGATCTGACCTCGTGATCTGCCTGCCTCGGTCTCCCAAAGTGCTGGGATTACAGGCGTGGGATTACAGCCACGACACCTGGCTCCTCTAGGAGCTTTCACTACTCAGAAGCTCTCTGGACCCAGTCCTCTTGGGTTTTCTTGGAAGCTTCAGGATGTTAGCATTCCTTCCCCTGGGGAACTGGGGAGGTGCTCTCTGGGGAGGGTTTTAAGAACCACAGTCAGAAAGAGGGGGAAAGATTAAAGTCTTCCCTTCGGGCAGGTGAAAAGAGAGGAGGAGAAGGTTCCTGAGACCTGCCCCTGAGGTCCAGCACACCCAGCATTATAGGGAGACTGCAACAAGAGCTATGGGGGTTATAAACTAGGACTGTGGATGAAAACCTATATATATATATATATATATATATACACACATACACACAGAAGCCACAGAGCCACTGAAATGTTTAGTCTTTTCGACTCTTTTTTTTTGAGATGGAGTCTTGCTCTGTGGCCCAGTCTGGAGTGCAATGGTGCAGTCTCCTGGGTTCAAGCAATTTTCCTGCCTCAGCCTCCTGAGTAGCTGGGATTACAGGCACCCGCCACCACACCTAGCTAAATTTTGTATTTTTAATAGAGATGGGGTTTCACCCTGCTGACCAGGCTGGTCTCGAACTCCTGACTTTGTGATCCCCCTGCCTCGGCCTCCGAAAGTGCTAGGATTACAGGCATGAGCCACTGGACCAGGCTAGTCTTTTAAACTCTTAAGCTTCATTATTCTGGGATGGTGCTGATGCCAATTCTCAGTGGTGGCATGGGGGCTCCTGGGCCGGGTAGGGGGTGGGTTGGAGCATCTCCTCCATCCCAAGTGGCTTTGGTGGGGTGAGTGGTAGGGGTTCCTGCTGACCTTTCTCTGGGATGGCAGCTTCTCCTGAACCTCCATACTTTCTAAACTGATCTCCACTCACCCCCTCCCTTCCACTCCTCCCGCTCTACCTCTTGGGTTTCCTCTTTTGCTTCATCTCATTCTGACCTCACTTTCTTCCCTATCCCTGCTCCCCTCTCAATCAACCCACGGTGTCCTGGGGGTCTAGGCCCAAAACTTGCTGAAGAAGGTGGAAGGCCTGGAGAACCTGAGCAATCTCACCACTTTGCATCTTCGAGACAACCAGATTGACACTCTGAGTGGCTTCTCCAAGGAAATGAAATCACTGCAGTACCTCAACCTGAGGTATGCACCCCCTCCAAGCCCCACCTTGCCTCCACCCCTGACCAGGTGCAGTTTTGAGTCTGTGTTCTTCCCTGGCCCAATCCCCCAGTCCTAGCACACAGCCAGATCCTCACCTCATCCTCCTCTCTGATCCTCACCCCTGCTTTCCTTACTTTCTTCTGCACTGAGTCCTAATTGCAACACTAAATCCCTTATAGCTTGTGACCTCTGAATTCTTATTCATTGAATCCATAATTATTGAAAATGTGCTATGTGCCAAGCCTTGTACTGTGTTTTGGGGACATTGAAAGGAATCAGAGGCCAGGCATGGTGGCTCATGCCTGTACTCCCAGCACTTTAGGATGGAGGATCATTTGAGGCCAGGAGTTCAAGACCAGTCTTGGCAACATAGTGAGACCACATCTCTACAAAAGTAAAAATAATGGCCGGGCATGGTGACTCATGCCCAGTAGTTCTCTAGCACTTTGGGAAGCCAAGGTGGGCAGCCTGGGAGTTCAAGACTAGTCTGAGCAACACTGCAAAATCCCATCTCTACCAAAAATACAAAAATCATCCAAGTGTGGTGGCGGGCACTTATAATCCCAGCTACTCAGAAGGCTTAGGCAGGGAGCCTTGAGGTGGAGTTTGCAGTGAGCTGAGATCACACCACTGCACTCCACCCTGGGTGACAGAGCCAGACCCTGCCTCAAAAACAAAACAAACAAAAAAATTAAATAAAAATTAAAATAATAAATTAAAAATAAAAGTTAACTGAGCCTGGTGGTGCACACCTGTGGTTTCAGCTACTCAGGAGGCTGAGGTAGGAGGATCACTTGAGCCCAGGAGTTCAAGGTTGCAGTGAGCCATGATCGTGCCACTGCCCTCCAGCCTGGGTGACAGAGTGAGCTGTCTCTGAAAGAAATAAAGGAATCAGAGTGACCCCTGTTCCTAAGGGGCTCACAGTCTGGTTCCAACTCTTTTTTCTTTGCCCTACCCCATGTAAGTTTCCACTTCTCCATTTCCTGGGTCCCAATTCCCCTTCCCATTTCCTGCCTCTCTTCTCCTGAGCCCCACCTGTAAGGGATGGCCTTTTTACTGACATAAAACACAAGATGTGCTCAGATTTGAGGAGAGAAGACTAGATTCTTGAGCTGGTAATGGAAAGAGCATCTCCAAGTAGGGAGAGGTGGTTGCATCTGGAAGCCCCAACTCTCATCCTGACCCCCTAGGCAATCTCTCATTCATGAACTCTGCCACAGTGATCTGGTGGGGTGTGTGTGTGTGTGCCATGTTCCTGTTATGGTCTAGACAGGCATGATGGACCCTTCCTGAGTGGCTATTAACTGGGGCTGTTTGAGAGTAAGTTGGGTGTGTGTGTGGAGGGAGTGAGGGTGTCTCGATTGGGAGGTGCCTCTGGGGCTAGAGATGCTAAGCATCCTGCAGAGCACAGCAGAGTCCAGTACAAAGTGCCTGTAGCCTTCCTGGTGAGAAACACTGCATGAGTCTCAATATGACCATGAGATCGGGGTGAAACACTTCAATATGATTTCATAAAGGCTTAAAGCCAGAACATGAAAATGAAAGGCCAGGCACGGTCACTCACACCTGTAATCCCAGCACTTTGGGAGGCCAAGGCAAGAGGACTGCTTGAGGCCAGGCGTTCAAGACCAGCCAGGGCAACGTAGTGAGACCCAGTCTCTACAAAAAATTTAAAAATTAGCCAAGTGTGGTGGCACACACCTGGAGCTACTTAGGAAGCTGAGGTGAGAGGATCGCTTGAGCCCAGGTGTTCAAGGCTGCAGTGGGCTATATGATCATGCCACTGCACCCCCAACCTGGGTGACATAGTGAGACCCTGTCTCTTTTTCTTTCCTTCTTTCCTTTTTTTTTTTTTAAGATGGGGTTTCACCATGATGGCCAGGCTGGTCTTGAACTCTTGACCTCAGGTGATCCACCCACCTCGGCCTCCCAAAGTGCTAGGATTACAGGTGTTGAGCCACCGCGCCCAGCCAACCCTGTCTCAAAAAAATAATAAAAATAAATAAATACAGAGGATCATATTATGAGGCACATTAAGAGATAAAGCTTATTCTTTAGCTGGGAGGCTCCAACCCATTCCTGGCCCTAGGTTCCCTTTGCGGGGAGCACCAACAGAGCCCCCACCCACCCTAAACTCCTGCTTAGATCCCAGTTCCTTGTCTACTGATCTAGCTCCTACAGGGTGGAGTACAGTGGCTCCAGCTAGGCTCACTGTAACCTTGAACTCCTGGGCTCAAGTGATCCCTCGTCCTCAGCCTCCCAAGTAGCAGGGACTACAGGTGTGTGCCACCACACCCAGATAATTGTTTTATTTTTATTTTTTGTAGAGATAGGGTCTCACTGTGTTGCCGAGGCTGGGTCCTGCCTTCTACCCTCTGTTTAGCTGTGATTGACACAGAAAAAGTCTCTCCCTGTAAGGAAAATTTGCCCCCTTATCCCCAGCTAGTACAGTTCATGTATTCTCCAACATGAATACATTACAGAGTAGAATATGGCACTTAGGGATTCCTTGAAGGGCAGAAGCAGGACCAGAGCGGGGTCGAACAGCTCCTCTGCAGTAAATCTGGCAAGGCTTGGCAGGCCAGACCTCACAGTCAGTGTTTCTAGAAAAACTGGAACCCAGTAGGAGAGTCCCCCAGAGGCCCCATTCCTAGCAACTGGCAACCAAAGCCCATTATTCCTGCGTGAACCCCTCCTGACCACACTGGCAGGGGCAACTTGGTGGCCAACTTGGGGGAGCTGGCCAAGCTTCAAGACCTGCCCAAGCTGCGAGCCTTGGTGCTGCTGGATAACCCATGCACGGATGACGCCAAGTACCGCCAGGAGGTCCTGGTGCAGATGCCATACCTCGAACGTCTAGACAAGGAATTCTATGAGGAGGAGGAACGGGCTGAGGCTGATGAGATTCGGCAGAGTCTGAAGGAAAACCAGGAGCAGGAGCCTGAACCCCAGCATGATCTGGAACCGGAACAGTCTTTGATCTAGCCTCTAAAGATAGTAAGGAAGCCTGCAGGGAGGCAGTGGGAGGAGGTCAAGGGCTGGGCAGGTAGGAGAAGAGACAAGAGGAAAAGCTGCTGCAGAAGGAGGTGGGGAGGAAGGCATCAGACAAGCAGAACCCTTAAAGAGAGCAGGCTTAGGAATCAAGGAGAGGAAAAGGGACCCGAAGGGCCTAGGACCAGCTGAGAAAGGGCTTAGGAAGCCAGAAGAGTAAGCAAAAAGAATTGGGGTGGCAGGCAGAGGAGTTGGTGGGGGGTGGGCAGCCATACCTGACACAGTGAAGTCTGCTAGGAAAGGACTGGTGTGGGTGCATGGTAGGGGCTGCAGGGGAGGGTTGGTGGTGTATGTAGCTGGGCCTAGGAGAGAAGGCAGGAGAGGAAGATCCTGCACTAAAAATCTGAAGCTAAAAATAGCAGGACACAGAGGTGGGGGAAGAAAAGAGGGCAGAGTGAGGCAGAAAGAGATGGAAGAGATGAGGATGGCCGCCAGGCACTTCAGATAGGACAGAGGCTTTATTGACTTCTTTTTTTTTTTTTTTTTTTTTTTGATACGAGTCTCGCTCTGCTGCCCAGGCTGAAGTACAGTGACCTGATCTTGGCTCACTGCAACCTCCACCTCCCGGGTTCAAGCATTCTCCTGCCTCAGCCTCCTGAGTAGCTGGGACTAGCCTGGATAATTTTTGTATTTTGAGTAGAAACGGAGTTTCACCATGTTAGCCAGCATGGTCTCGATCTCCTGGCAAACATGGTGATCCACCTGCCTCTCCTGTGATCCACCTGCCTCGGCTTCCCAAGGTGCTGGGATTACAGGCCTGAGCCACCCCTATCGTCCCTATTTACTTCTGTCTTCTACCTCCAGGAGATCAAAGATGCTGGCCTTCAGACCTAATCAGATTCCCAGGGAGGCCAGCACATTCATACCTGCTCCAGGCGGACAGAGGATGCCTCTTTTTGCCCCAAAGTTGGAAATTCATCACAGTCTGAGGCCCAGGATCCCTCTCTGTACTGGTCCCCTGGGCAGTGTGGGCTGCAGAGTGGGGTGCCTAGGCCTGAGTAAGGCCTGGAACCTAGGCCCATGTTCGCCCTGGGGCAGGCATGGGTAGGAGCCTAGCCCGCGTGGGCCACGGGGTGCTGGTAGGAATGGCTGGAGAGACCTGGAGGCGGCTGGGGTGTTTGGATTTCCAATAAAGAGGCACTGTGATGCTCCTGTGTCTGACTGGGTTTGTGAGGCACTGAGGCTGCCTTGGGCTTCACTGGCATTGTGGGCCTTAGTACCCGGGCTACAGGGGTGCGGCTCTGCCTGTTACTTTCGAGTGGGTTGGGTCATGGGTATGAGCGTGTGTGTGCGCGGGGGGCCAGGTCGTGGGTGCCCCCACCCTTCCCCATCCCCCACTCTACCCGCGTCGGTCCCCCACCCGCGCTTGTACGTGCGCCTCCACCGGCAGCTCCTGACTCATCGGGGGCTCCGGGTCACATGCGCCTGCCCGGCCCTATAGGCGCCTCCCCCGCCCGCCGCCCGGGAGCCGCAGCCGCCGCCGCCACTGCCACTCCCGCTCTCTCCGTGCTGCCGTCGCCACCGCCACCGCCACAGCCACCGCCACCACCACCGGCTGAGTCTGCAGTCCCGAGGTGAAGCCCCCGCCGGGCCCGGAGCCCCTGCCCCCTCTACCCGGTGCCGCTGGGCACCTCTCCGCATCTCTCGCCGCGTGCAGGCAGCTGCGCACCTGCTCTGCCGCCTGCGCCTGGGCGCCCTCCCTCCCGGGCCCTGGCGCTCTGGCCCTCTCCGCGCCTCTCTGGAACTGCGCCTCTCCACCCTTGCCTGCCTCTCGTCCAGCGCTCCCCCTCACCTACGGTTCTGTCCATTTGTTTCTTAAGTTCGGAGTCCTCCCCAGCGGTGCATTTTTATCCTGGCGCGTACCTTTTGGTTTGCATTTGGGGAAATGTCTTCTCTCCCCCTTCCTCAGCTCCTCCAGACTTACCCTGGACTCCCCTCTCTCCTGCTTTTCCCCCCGCCGCCCCTCTCCGTTTGCGCTTCCTCCTCTCAGCTGCACGGGGGAGGGATGGAAGAAGTGGGGATCTGTCGGGGCTCAGGGGACGGGCCCAGCTAGCTGCCACACCCCACCGGGTCTTATCCTCTTCGCTCCCTGCTGCAACCCCCAGGGACTGCAGGGCCTTCCCCAGGACCCTTTCTCCCGCCTCCTCCGCCCCCATGCCTCTACTGCGTGCGCCTTTCTGGGGAAGAGGAGGGACACACGTTTGGGAGAGAGTGGCACCTTGGGGAGGGGGCAGAGTTCTGGCAGCTGGGCTAAGTTGGGGAGGGATGGGGCTCTGGAAGAGAGGCCCACGCAACCCATCCTCTTCCTGGCTCCCAGGAGAAATGCGAGCCTGGCAGCCATTCCGCTCTGAGGAGATCTGGGGGAACCCCACCGGCTGGCCAAGCTGTAAAGAGGCGCGGGAACCACTGTTGTGCCCCTCCCCTCCCCGCTGCAGTGTTCTCCCAGCCCCCCACTGCAGTGACCTCCCCTTCCTCACTGCATTGACCTTCTCCTCTTCCCAGGGGGGAGGGGGAATCCCTTCTACAGCCCTAGACTGCAGCCAGCGCCTCCCTTCCCACCCCCCACTCACTGCAGTAACCTCTTTCCCATCCCTCCCAGCCTCCTGCCCCGCCCATTGATCTCAGGCTCCACCCCTCTAAGCCTCTTATCTTTCTCCTTCCTTCCCTTCCACCCGAGGAGATCCCAGCCATCATGTCCATAGAGAAGATCTGGGCCCGGGAGATCCTGGACTCCCGCGGGAACCCCACAGTGGAGGTGGACCTCTATACTGCCAAAGGTAATGGGTGTGGCAGGCGCCTTCCCACTGCCAGGCTGGGTTTGGCCGGGGTTCAGGGGCCTTTTCTGATACCCAGGGGGATGGGGTGCTGGGTCAGGCTCACAAGCCTGGGTTGTGGGGGTTGGATCCTCCTTGTCCAGGGAGCCAGTGTAGGCGGGTCTGTGTTGGAATTGAGCGTGTGAGGCGTGCCCTGCCCCCGTGTGTCTGCCTGTGCACCTGCATGTGTGCAGAGGTGTGCTGCCCGGCATAGCTTCCTTTCTGCGGGCTCCGCTTGTGCTGTGGGGCCTCAGATGGGCGGATGAGGAGGCCACTTCTTGTGTGTCTGCCTCACAGTGTGTGTGTTGCGGGTGGGATGTTAGGGAGCAGTGTAGGGGGAGAGCTAGATGTGGCAGGCAGGAGTTTAGAGCCGGAAGGCCCGGTAGTGTAGTCTTCTTCACTCCCTCTCATTGCATATTCTTCCTTTAGGTCTTTTCCGGGCTGCAGTGCCCAGTGGAGCCTCTACGGGCATCTATGAGGCCCTGGAGCTAAGGGATGGGGACAAACAGCGTTACTTAGGCAAAGGTGAGGTCCTTTCTCTTTTCCAGACTCTCCCCCACCTCAGCCTTATCCCCCCACCTCACACCAGTCCCCAGTCCTCCTCTAGCATGCCTTCCCCTCCTCCCATTGTCCCTTCCGTCCTTCCTGGCCTGACCCAGTCCAGCCTCTTCCTCTCCCCAGGTGTCCTGAAGGCAGTGGACCACATCAACTCCACCATCGCGCCAGCCCTCCTCAGCTCAGTGAGGCCCGCTCTTTGCTGGGGATAGCGGGGACAGAGTTCTGGAAGGAACCCCGGAGCAGGGCAGGAGGAAGGGGAGAAAGAAGTCCCACTTTTAGGAATCATGGTTACAAGGGAAAGGGGTGGGGAATAGCTTCCTTACTGCCCTCTGCTCCCATGGGGGTTCAGGTCCTCTCATCCAGGCAGGCCCCTGTCACAGGGACTTGGTTGGACGCTGGCCAAATGTGAGCTTGGGTGTGAATGAGGGGACCCTCTGCCTTAGGGCTCAGCCTCCAGCCTGGCCCTGGGTGATGGAGGCTCTGCCCTCAGGGTCTCTCTGTGGTGGAGCAAGAGAAACTGGACAACCTGATGCTGGAGTTGGATGGGACTGAGAACAAATGTAAGCTGGGGCTGGGAGAAAGTGGGGAAGCGTCAGGGTGGGGCGGTGTGGAGCAGACAGAGAGCTGAAGGGCTGGTGCTGTAAGGGCTTCCTCAGGAATGACTGACAGCGGCCTCCTCCTCCCAAAGCCAGGGCAAGGGGAGATGAGTTTAGCTGCAGAGGAGAGACCCACATTAGGCAGAAGGAAGACCTTTATAGCATACAGAGGAGGGGGCTGGCCTGAGAGAGTCTGTGGTCTCAGGGATCTTTCCGATCTCCTCCTCCCCACCCATTCTTCTCCCCTGCTGTTTTCTGGAGAGCATGGATGAGGTGTTACTGGGGCAGGGGTGGGGAGGGAGGAGGGGGTCTCCTTTACTGGCTCCTTTTGAAGACTACAGATGGGGGCAGGAACTAGAAGGAGAAGGGGACGTTGTGCTCAGCACCTTCCTCTATAATCTCCCAGCCAAGTTTGGGGCCAATGCCATCCTGGGTGTGTCTCTGGCCGTGTGTAAGGCAGGGGCAGCCGAGCGGGAGCTGCCCCTATATCGCCACATTGCTCAGCTGGCCGGGAACTCAGACCTCATCCTGCCTGTGCCGGTGAGCACTGAGCCATGCCTGTGACTCTCCCAGGGGTGGGTGGGGGAGGGAGCATGCAACTTCTGAGGAATGATGGGAGGAAAGTGAATTGGGGCAGGTAAAGAGGAAGGATGGGGACGTGAGACTTAGTCCAGGAAGCTGGGGGAAGTTTGTGGTCTTGGGTTAACACTCCTGGGGCGGGCAGGGAGGAGCTCTTTGACCCTTCTGTCTTTCTGCGGTTCCCCAGGCCTTCAACGTGATCAATGGTGGCTCTCATGCTGGGAACAAGCTGGCCATGCAGGAGTTCATGATCCTCCCAGTGGGAGCCGAGAGCTTTCGGGATGCCATGCGACTGGGTGCAGAGGTCTACCATACACTCAAGGGAGTCATCAAGGACAAATACGGCAAGGATGCCACCAACGTGGGAGATGAAGGTGGCTTTGCCCCCAATATCCTGGAGAACAGTGAAGGTGAGGCCAAGAATTCTATTCCCAGCTCTAAGCTACAATAGGGTAAGCTATCGTGGGACATCAGAAAGGGCCACACACTTCACCAAGTCCTGAGTAGGCGTGGAGGATCCTCAGACTCTACAAACTCCAGAAGGTACCAGTTCTTAGAGTGGCTTGCAGAGGGCCTGCCAAATTCACACACAGATCTAGGGGGACAGTCTTTTACTTGCATTTCCAGCTGTGTTAGCATCTGTTGTCACTGGATCCCCTGGGAATACTGGGAGATGGTCTGGGTGACCTGTTGGACTCATCCCATCATTCAACTCTGTAGGCATCTCAGTTTGATGAGATATCATAGTCTAGGGAATCCATTCGAAATCTATCCTGTCCCCACCCCAGCCTCCTAGGCCTCTAGAATCCGTAATATTTTTGTGCCTTGTAGAAACTGTATAAGAAATGGAAACAATATAGATAGTGTTTAAGAGTTAAGGTTCTGGGGCCAAATTACCTGGATTTATTTGAACCTTGACTTGTGGTGTTATTAGCTGGTGATCTTAATTTATCTCTGGGAACAATAACGATCTAGCTCATGACATCAGTGTGAGGATTAAATGAAATCATATGTGTAAAATGCTTAGGTGACATGATGTCAATGAAAAGATAATAAATCTTATTAACAGAATTCCACCCTGTGTTCCCAGAAGACGGCCTCTCCTCCCAGACCCGGGGGTAACCCCAACAGCAGCCCCAACACACTTCTCAGGAACAGCCCTCCAACTCTGCCCTCACTGTCTTTTATTTCCCTCCTCCTCCTCGCCCATCCCTCCTGCTTGTACAATAATCTCACTGTATTCCGTCCCCAGCCTTGGAGCTGGTGAAGGAAGCCATCGACAAGGCTGGCTACACAGAAAAGATCGTCATTGGCATGGATGTTGCTGCCTCAGAATTCTATCGTGATGGCAAATATGACTTGGACTTCAAGTCTCCGGCTGATCCTTCCCGATACATCACTGGGGACCAGCTGGGGGCACTCTACCAGGACTTTGTCAGGGACTATCCTGGTGAGAGGAAGCAATGTGAGGGGGAGGTCTGGGGGCAGGCAGGGAAGTGTCCCAGCAACTCTGGCCATTATGGGGTGCTGACTCAGGCTCCAGGTGGAGGTGTCCTAAGAAGAACCTGAGAACCAGGGAGAGGGTGCAGGAGCCACCTGCA